TGAGGAAATTACATATGATTAAATGCAAAAAAAGTATAAAAGGGATGCTGGTTGATCTCTGCCCTGCAAGTTTTAATGCTTTTTTCAATGTGTATGCATTGTGTATGTATTAATGTGTATGTTTTGTATTATATTCATCTACCTTGACGATGCTAAATCTGTTATATTGATAATTTTGATTGATTGATAGTGGGTCAAAGATCGGGCCCGATAAAAAATAGAATAGTTAGATGATGGCTTAATTTTAGGCTGTGGTGAAAAGTCTATGTTATTCTTAGCTTACTGCGCTTGCTCAGGGCACATGATTCTCGGACCCAATGATCACTTACCCCACGGTATGGGGAGTGGTCATTGGTTGATAATGCTGGCGCGCCCTCCCGAATATATCGGGGCTTCGGGAAAAAAAATCTTACTCTACTCGTTTGGAGTAGTGAAGTGGACTCGGGAGGAGCTGTATCAACTCGACGTAAAGATCCGAAAAACTGAAGGGTTCATCATGGCTTGCAAGGATGGTGTCTTCAACACCTCAGTCTACCGCAGTCGCGTGGTGCAGACCCACCACGAGGCGTCCGAGACCCTATTGTACTTGCTATCAGCATGTCCATCATATGCGGTCTCGGCCTATATCCATCGACATAATGGATAATCCTAAACTTTATGGAGAAAGCACCTACATTAGTCCTTGAGGATGTTGAAAGACTACACGCATACTATCGGTATGGAATTGGAATTAGTGCAATGGTTGATGATCAGAAAAACCATGCGGAGACTACGGAGAGGGTAATATTTTTTCAACGTAATATTACTATAATAAATTTTAATTGAAATTTTGTGAAGACGCTGGTTGTATATTTCAGAATCATAGCTTATTTTTTCTAATACTTTCTCCATGAAATGTGGAATGAATTTTGATAGGTACCTAATTTACAGTTCCTGAAGATCTTCTCAAATTTTCTTCATTTTTAGGCGATTCCATTTCAGTTATGACTCTCACTTTATCTGGATCTACTTTGAAACCGTTTTCGCTAATAATATTCCCCATGAATTTTACTGTCTTAACCCAATATTGAAACTTTTCTTTTTTGAAAGTAATATTGTGACGACTGGCCGTTTCAAAAACCTCATGAAGAATTCGATCATGTTCATCTTTTGTTTTCCCAGATATTATTGAGTCATCAAAAATGTTCTGAATTCCCATATTTGTCTAATCTTTTTTTGAAATACCTCCGGAGCAGATTTGATACCAAAAGGCATTCTCAAAAATGTGTACCTCCCGAATGGAGTATTGAACACACAAAAATCCTGAACTCATATCAATAACAGATTTTTTTTGATGACAACTTTATATAAGTATTAGGAATAGGAACTGTCATGTTTGTTGTTAATTACAAAAGTAATATAATATACAACATCCTCGGTGTCGATGTCAATTCTACGGTGGATTGACATTAACGCCAAACCGTTTAGTCGTCCCTGGCTTGTGGAGTTTCTTGAATAAGTTTTGAGGCGTTTCAGGTAAAGAAAGTCCTTTCAGGGGTAAATCTGGAAACAGGAAGTGTCGCCAAGATCTTTGAAAGTTTGTACGCACATTGCCGTAAGGTTTTTCCATTGTATTTCAGGGAAGTTTTTTCAATATTCTCTTTCAAGCACTTGGTTCGTTTGCCAAGAACTTGATGAAATTTCTAACGGATTTTATACTCACAATAGTATCTGTAGAGTAGGGAGAGTGAGTGTAGGTCCACATGTGACCCATTGTACATCCTCTCGAGAAGTTGTCCTCTTAGGTCATCATCCATCCTGTTCTTTCTAGGAAGGAGACATCTCCTTCATATCGGCAGGTGTAGGCCAAGACTCGCCAAACACACACTCTCTTATTGACGACAACACCGGACACTCAGATAGGACATGCCTGACAGTTTCACCTTCCTGTTCACACATCCTGCATTGAGGTGTGTCCACTAGCCCCATAATAAAGAGGTGTTTTCTTAGTTGACAGTGGCTATTCAGAAATCTTACTGTTAAGTGTAGATTTTTCCTGGTCATCGCCAGATATTTTTTCATCTCATCTCTTCAGGGATTCAGCATGGGTGTAACGTTTGGCTAGTTCCGCAATTGTCGAAGTCATCAGGCCGTAAGTGCCACTGGATCCTGAAATTCTTAGTCCAGCCGCTTCCTTGGCTAAAGGGTCGGCAATGCCCTTTAATCCACCTCAGGATAATGTTATTATATATCGAGGCCTTAGCTAAATCTTGGTGGCACTCTAGTACTAGCCCTGATGTAACACGTTGTCTGTTCAAGGCTAATAGAGCTTGTCTGCTATCAGTGCAGATTGTTAAGTTTATCCAGAAATTCCTTTCCTGATTATTCCTTTTGTGGCAATTGAGATACCAGCCAGTTCTGTTTGAATCACGCTGGTATTTCCATTCCCCACTTAATCCTTAGGCTCAGTGAGTACACTCTTCCTCATGACCCTTATTTAGTTTTTGAGCCGTCCATATATATGAGTATTGCATTTGTAGCATGTGCCTCTGTGTTATGTTTTATTTGTATTTTGTAGGGTTTATTAAACACAAACCTGGGTTCAATTGCATCACTTGTTGCCTGCAGCAGAGGTTGCGCAGTAAGCGCTTCCCGCCATAGGCCCAGCCTCAATGGACCCATTCCAAATTCGAGGTTTACACCATCCGAGCGCAATCGTACCATGGCCATTAACGCAACCTCCTTAACGTACAGATCCAGAGGGGTCAGACCCGTGATTAATTCCATTGCCGCGGTTGATGTTGTTCTCATGGCTCCTGTGATATTTAAACAAGCCAGTCGCTGTATTTGATATAATTTTTGGATGACCGTTGCTTGTAGAACTTTCGGAGGGGGGATCAATCCCCCTTGATCCCCCATTTTCCATTGCCGTGCCGTGTTTGTAGAAATAGTTGTTGACCTGGAAGAAATTCTATTCCATGTAGATACTCATTGATTCTATATGTCTACCATTACTCATCGACTGAGATTATTGACCTTCAGAAGTTACTTCAAATATTCAACTTCACATTCTCAAACTTCTCTATGAAATCATGTGAATCAACAACACTCGAACTCAACTGTGAGTTTGAGAGAGTTTCAAACTATTTGGTCAGCCATTTAGCAATTTTATGAGTAGGGGATCTTATGCCGGAGACAATAGTCACACTGAATTACCAGACTGTGAATTTTTGGTATACCGTACCTATACCACTTTTTCCAAAATATTTGTATTGGGTATAATGGTTAAATTATTGTCTAATTCAAATCATCTGGAAGAATCATTCGTTCAGGTCAGTCTCAACTCCCTACACTGTAGGTTAATGGACTGAGACATATCACAAAACAACTACTCCCCTGGCTGATACCACGAAGGGCGTTGGATTATATCCGACAGGTGTCAGTGCAGGATTCTTCACTGAACTTTTTCCTGCATATGACATTGGCGATACAACCGCCGAAATAGTGTTTCAATTATTGGAACACACTTGTAGACCGGTTTCGGGCTGTTTGATCACTCGTCAGTGCAAGGTAGTATCTATCATCAACATTAAGTCGATGACTTCCGATAATTGAATATCGAATTCCTTCAGAGTATCATTCCTTGAACTAAGCTGAAGCGGACAACAAAACTCAGGCGATAACCATGGGAAGATTACTATCTTCTCCGGCCAGAAAAGTGAGAATCTCTGGAAGGGAGATTGACTGGCAAGCGCGGATAAAGTACCTCGGCCTTTTAATAGACCGTAGGCTCACTTGGAACCCGCACATTATGTACGTCAAATCTAAGATCGAGGGTCGGATAGCCAGTCTGTACCCTCTGATCAATAGAAAATCAAAAATGAGTTTAAAAAACAAATTCACGATCTATAACACGATGTTCAAGCCTGTCATCATGTACGCTTCAGGCGTCTGGGGACAAGCGGCTCCGTCCAACATTTCCATTTTGGAAAGGTTGCAAAATAAGTTAATTAGGATGATTGTGAATGCTCCTTGGTTCGTGCGGAACGAAGCCATCCGCAGAGATTTGCAGCTGCCTTCCATTCGGCAGTCCATTCAGTCGAGGAATGAGAGAGTTTTCGAAAAAACGGAAACTCATGGAAACCCTTTAGTTAGGAAAGCCACAGATTATGCTGTAAACGACCCCTCCCGATACAGAAGGCCCCGACACTCTGTCGAATGAGGCCCTCATGTCCCCCGTCAACGGACGAATAACTTTTTCACCCACCCCACCCCAGCCAGGTAGGGGTATCCCGTGAAGGGTGGCACTGATGTCTTAGGACTTCATGCCGTCATCTATCAGTTGTGTATCCATTGGTCCCTCTCAAGGCCAATAATCAGCCAAAAGGGTAGGGGAGCTGGTCTCCAAACCTGGAAGAAGTGACGATGATGATGGCGGACAACAAACAACAAGGTTTGCCACAGCTGCCTGTGAACGAGATAACCAACCGCATATCCGAAATTTGCCTAATTCCTCGTATAAGGAAAGAAAACTTCTCACATAATAATCAGTAGGAGGAGGAATTGGTTACGTCGTTCTCAGGCAGATGGGGCGATGGCAAACCTTGTTGTTTGTTGTCCGCTTCAGCGTAGTTCGAGGAATGATTCTATAAAGGAAATATTTTTTCAATCATCTGAAGTCATCGACTTTATTTTGATGATAGACACTACCATGCACTGACGAATGGCTATAAACAGCCCAAAACCGGTCTGCAACTGAGTTCCAATAACTGAAAATCTATTGAGGCAGTTGTATCACCTAGAGCATATGCAGGAATAACTTCAATGAAATGAAATGTTCAAACAGTTCAATCTTTCTCTTGAAGACGATCAATTGGTGATCGAAACACATCATCAGTACATCACAAGTATATTTGAATATTAAGAGTGTGTGTTTCATTTTTCATCATACGAAATCCCATAGTATGAATCATCTTTGCGTTGAGTATTATAAGCATTACCATAAGCAGTGGAAAAACAAATGTAATATGCAAATATATTTTCGAAAGAATCAGGTGTTATGAAACAAATATCAGTAGAATATACAAAAGGAAGTTCCAATTATTCATTAGTTAATTGGTCCGAATCCACGTGACCTCTTGCTCTCTTCCTCTGTCATATCGGTGAATTGATTTACACCCTTCTCCCAGCTTTCTTGTCCTGCTTTGTATCTCTGGTTATGTGCGTTGATCTCCTGAACATTCTTTTCATAAATGGAACGATGGAGAGCATCATCTTGGGGAGTGTTGTAGTGTTTGTTGAATTTTTGCTGGAACAAAAACAAGTTTCAGTGAATTTTGTCTACAATTTTCGGGCCGAAAGTTACACATTTGGTAACTCATTCCTTGGCCGATACATATGTCACATCTAGCTCTGAATAGGAAGTGAGGAAGCAGAGTTATCAAAGAAATGAAGAATATTTCGTATGGAAGATACCAAAGCATCAGGCATATTTTAATAATCCAACAGACTGAGTGGAAGCGTATGGTACCTCATGTCAAGAAATATAGGTATATGAGTACATCCCAGGCAGTTTGAAGGCCGTGAATTTTTGGAATTTCTTCCTGACGTTTCGCTGGCACAAATGGCTAGCTTCTTCAGAGGTTTGTTCATCCTGAGTTAATAATAATAATATTTATTTGCGTTGCTCCGGGCACATGATTTTCGGCCAAAATGATCACTTACCCCTCGGTGTGGAGAGTGCATTGGTTGATAATGCTGGCACGCCCAGGGGATGGGGCCTGACCAGCGCAAACTACGGTTGGAAAAAAAATATTGACTTGCCAAAAACAACTACACTAACCAACGTCAATTTTACAAATAAATAAAGAGTTAGCCACATGAAGCATTGCTTTGTATAGTGGTTGAGAGAAAAGAGAAAAAAAGGGGAAAGGATTAGAAGTCGTTTAGTCATGTGATCATAACTAACAATGTTTATGTATCGACAATTATAGAACGGGCTTAAAAAAATCTCAGTTTTGAACATAAACCGGCTTCTATCATTCAGCAGTACTCTACAATTGTGATATGTTTGATGATCATTCGATGAGTCATAGTTAGTCTTAATAATAAGATGTAGTTGCAGATAAAAAAACGTAAATAAGAAAAACAGTAAAGCAAGAAAGGAAAGAAATAATGAAGAAGGTCTATGAACTAGATTTGATTCAAACAATTCAAAGCAGCATCTTTGAAAAACACTTCTTTTTTTCCTTTTTTCTTATTTTTATTCTATTTCTCTTCACAGCATCTCCCATCACAGTTTTGTAATTATTTTTTGTATCGATGAATCGTTGTAAGTTGTCTCGAGGTTTACTGAGTACCTAACCATTTTTTTGTATGACTTTTAAACATTTGTAGGGAATTAATTTTTCTCATCTCAATGTCAAATGTGTTATATAATTTAGGTCCTAGGTAAGTATGGCATCGTTGTGCAATGGTTTTTTCTGGTTTTGGTATTTTAAGGGCGTTTGATTCGTGTCTTGTGTTATGTATATATGGTATCCGAATCGAAACTTTCTTATTTTTGTGTTGATAGACGAGAAGACTGACAGAATAATTGACGAGTATCAAGTACTTTGGTCTCGGTGTATAACAAGTCAGATGAGAATCGAATTGTTTTGTTGAATGTAATTTTCAAAAGAAATTTCTGTATAGTTTCAAGATTTCGTATCAAAGTTTCATTTGCTCCTTCCTAGACTACGATTCCATATAATAAATGCGATTCCGCTAATGAATGGTAAATTATTTTCATTTGTTCCACTTTCAGGATATTCGATAAATATTTGAACTTATATAGTATCTCAGTTTTTTTATGATATTATTGATATGCGTTTCCCATTTCAAGTGACTATCTAAAAATACTCCTAAATATTTAATACTTTTGATGGACGAAATTTCAACTTGGGAAGTATTATGCTAGAGTGTAAGCTTATTATATTCTGGTAAATGACTGGATATTACGGCTGCGTAAAGCGTATTTAAGTTGACTTCTTAGATAATTTATCACCCTCAAATGTTAGAACAGTAAAAACATCAATCAGTACGTGTTTCGAACCTATATAAGTCCATCATCAGCTAATTATTTGAAAATTCTACAATGAAAGAAGAACATAACAATAGTTAGTATGATGGAGTGTAAAATACTTACATGGAGGAGAAAATTTTATAATGCAGAAAAGCAAATTATCACATGTTACCAATGAATAAATGGTCACAGTGACACGTCAATAGTAATGAAAATTGAATATTTAGTGAAACGAAAGAAGTTTATAACATCCTAGCTATAAAAGATTTAGGTATGGGAGGCTTAGAGCCTTTATACCCACTACTCAACATCAAAATCAAAAATCGCCACATGAAAACGAATTATAATGAAAGAGATCCAAACTGAATTGAATGAGAAAGCAAAATCAACTGTCATGGAAGATTCCCTCATCTTTTTTTGTATCAAGATGGAGTAGTAGAAAGCCAAAAACTTTCTTTCCCAAAAATATTTAAGGAAATAAAATCGAAATGACATGGAACAGTTACAAGAGATCTGCAAACACAGAACACAACAGAAGAAGGACCACTACATACATTTCAACTGGTGTTCTGAGCAACCATATCCCATGCCATCTATACATGCCAGCTTGTATTATTGTAACAAGTTTGCCAAAAATATTTTTCAGGAGTTGAGTACCTATCAAAGGAAATGCATAAAAAAACATTTTTTCTTCAATTTTTCGAAATGTATCTTTACAATAACCATAATGAATAGAACTGTGATTATTGTCGTTGTAAAAAACTTCGAAATCATGGATAAACGATAAGGTTATCATGTTTTCAGTAATATCAAAATATAAGAGTTGATTTTTGAAATTAACAATGATGTGAAAATATTACTGAAAACTAAGTGAACCTGACTTTGTATTGTTAATTAATGAAGTTGCAAATGTCAACGTTATACGATTGGAAAAAATTGATAACCGATGGTTGTATTTAAGGTTTACATCTTTGTAGAACTCTTAAAGGTAATACTTTTTTCGAATTGAATGATAAAAAAGCTTTCCATTAATTTCGTTTTTTGTTTAGAAAGATTATATAATTTATGAGTATGTTCTTTTATAATTTTATTTATCAGTTGAATTGGTTAGTTATTAGTTGAAGTTTCTTTAACTATTTTTGAGAATATTTCACGATATTGTAGATTGCTTAATTTGATAACTTGATCGAGTAAACCTATGACGAAACTTTTTTTTGGGAAAGAGGGTGATTTCGACTGCCAGATCAAGTTTTTTTGATGTAGTATTGAGTTTCAATTCTGATTAGAATCAGTATATAGAAAGCATACAGAAAAACCACTCAGTCCAGACGAACTAAAGAAGACGTTGTTATTTAGCAAAACCTTGAGAGTAAATAGCATCATGAAAAAATCAGTAGTTTTCGATTCGTATTGCTCAAAAATGACAAAGTCCAAATTAAAAAAAAAACTAACATTCATCTGAAAAGTGTTTAGATCGGTATTCATTAGCTGAATGCATATCGATATGTGAATAAAATATCAATCCCCAAATTGAATTAGTTCCTAATGATATCATAATGATAATAATAATAAATGGTGTTTATTTTACGTGGCGAAGTTTAGCAAAACGATATTCTTCCACTCAACCACGTTTGAAAAAAAAGAAATATTACAAAAAATGAATGGCAATTTCAGGACAAAAATAAAATCAAATACGAATATTTATGTTTGAATCACTATTGACTGAGCAATTCAGTTTTAAGTTTACTTTTGAATAGCGGTTGTGATGAATTTTTCAAAGATTCACCGAATGAATTATACATTGTTACAGCATGATACGTGAAGGATCGTTCATAGATCATAGATGTAACCTTTTATTTAAACTGTAATGTAAACAACTGCATATTTTATATATACTGTATATGTTTGCCGCTAATAGCTACGGCTGATGTGGTTTTTTCTAAATAAAAAATAAGTCGTAGATAGGAATTGAAATTTTCCAAAATGTGGCAGCAATTAATACATACCTTGTAGCTGTTCCATTCTCCATCACTAACAGCATGAGCAAAAGCAATTGCTACGACACAAAACACAATCAATTTAATATGCATTTTTGTTGATATTATATGACAATGAATTGGATGTTCGACGGATGATTCGAATATAACCTGGTAGTACGGAATGAGCATATATATATATACGGTTTGTTGATGGATGCAAACAATATATCAGCTGGTTTTGGATGGGGTCAAGTTTCATTATGCAACAAACAACTCTGAGTATTATGGCATCAGGTTGAGATACCATTACTCTGATAACAAGGGGCGAAACAACTGAGAACAAAAATATGAACTACACGGGTGAGTGAATTCGTACAAGCGGCCTTCAAAAATATAACCAACAGTATTTCCAAATCTGTGGTTATTAATATTTTTTATTTTTTGGCATATGTTCAAAATATCTTACCGTGAAGGGGTCTGATAATAACTTCTCAAAAAAATATTTTTTTTTCTTTTTTTTTAAGACAAAACATAAGCGCTACAGGAAAAACCTTAAGGCGCTCTAAGAGCGGTGCCTGTGCGAAAGTAGTGCTGTGTTTCAAGTGTTCTGTCGTCAGCAAAGCGATATATTGGATTCTTGGTTTTTTCCAATAGGTCGTTGATATACAATAAAAAGACGGTTCGAGACAATATGGGTCCCTGGGGAATACCAGCGTAAAAGTATTCGAGACATATCCATCGACGGCCACTTGTAGGGAAAGTTCTTTCAGGAATTGAATAGATATGATTTTCACTATAAAAGGGTTTTACAAAAATGGCGACACGTGTTTCGCTTTACAATAGCTTCCTCAAGCATAAACTGAGAGTTACCTACTTCTTAATTACAACCATTTTATATTATAACCTAGTACCTGAATAATGAATCTACCTGAAAAGGTCAGGTATGAACTGATTAACAATATCAATAATTATTTTTTTCGAAAGTATACCTGTAAATATACCTAACTGCAAATAAACAGATTCAATAATGGCGAATGATTTAAGTCAGTTTGATCGTTCATGAGATGTTGAGAGTTTTTGAATTTGTTTATTTCGATACTCTCCAACAGGTTAAGTTTCAAACCTTTCTTTTGGAAATGGAGGGGTTTGTATTCATGGTTGAACTCATGTCCCTCTGAGATTTATTGACTGGCATATATGGAATTTATTTTTCCATTCTGAAAACTCTATTTGTTTTCCTTTATGCGGGCTTTAAGCGTTCTTCCAGTTTGACCTATATAAAACCTCGGACATGGTCCACACGATAATTTATACACTCCTGATTTTTCTGAAACTGAACTTTTATCTTTGTTATTCTTAATGTGCATGCCTAGTTTGTTGTCGGTTTTGAAAGCAGTATTTACACCTTTGCTGTGCAGAAAATCTAAATTATTTGTAGTGGGTTGGCCTGAGTAGGTTAAGGTTCTATAACTTTCACCCTCTTCTTTTCGAATTGGGTGAACTTCTTTCAAAGCTTGACTGTATAACTTTTTTGATAATAAAGAATGTATCAGACCGTTATCGTTATCATTGTTGACCTCCATTTGCTTCATTATATTCAGTTCTTTATTGAAATTCGCCTCTGACAAGGGCACATTTATCAGTCTGTGGATCATAATGTTGAAAGCTGCTACCTTATGCTGATATGGGTAAGTGGACGAGTTATGAATGATAATATTTGTATGTGCCGGTTTACGATTAAATTGAAAAATCATGTTTGTTGTAACTTTTGTTATTGTCAAGTCCAAAAAATTTATAGAGTCATCCTGTTCCATCTCCATTGTGAATGTGATAGTAGGGTGGAGAGAATTGATGAACTTCAAAAGTTTGTGAACTGTCTGTTTGTTCCTGTGAAACATACCAGAATATCATCCACATATCTATACCAATACACGGAACTTCTTACCAGTGGGTTACTGTGTATTCTTCTCTCCTTCTTGATTTCCAGAAGAAACGTTTGAAACTTAGCCTGTTAGAGAGTATGGAAATAATTAAATTCAAAAACTGTCAACTTACGATCGAATTGAATTGAATAATTCACCATTATTGAATCTGTTCATTTGCAGCTAGAAATAGTTAGGTATATTTACAGGTATACTTGACGAAGGTCGTTTTGCCTGGTCCTGATTGACGAAAGTGCTACCGGTGAGAAGTTATTAAAGTGCTTGAAAAGATAGTAGTTAGTTGACAAGAAGTCTGAGGGTGAAGCAGAACTTCGACGCTGTATTTTTTTAATTTTAGGACGATGATTGGTTAAACGTGCGGACGGGCGTTGTTGTTGTTTCGTGATTGGCTGAAGAGTCATAAAATTAAATTTGAAGTCAATGTTACGGTGACCAACAGAATGTAACGATGAGTATCGCCGTTGTGTCGTCAATCTTCAGTTCAGGAACTGATCGCGATTTGAGTGTTGAAATTCGATATTGGTGAAGTTATAATTACTTAAAATTCTTGATATCTGTTTAAAATGTGGCGTCCTTGAACAAGTACTAATAGTAATAACGAGTGTGATAACAACGCACACTTTTTCCTGTGTAATGATTCCAATAGCGCTGGTAAACAATGTGAAAAATAGATACCAGTGAATAAAATTCGGATGCATTTGAATATCGAAACACCGAGAGTATGTTTCAATGTAAATAAGAATCTACATATCAAGTTTGGTTTCGAAAGAAAAAAACTATTACAAGCAACATCAGATTTGACAGAAATTCCTTTCTCAACTGTACGTAAAATAGTCAAAAACAAACCTTACGAACGCAAGACGCGATTGGATGCGGGATTACCAAAACCTTTATATGTTACAAAAGCAATGAAATTCCTACAATTGAAATAATAAGGAAGAAATTGAATACTTCCGGTCATAACGTGAGCTGATGTGACAAAACTCTTCAGAATTGGATAAAGAACCTAGGATTTAGATTTAAAATAATAAACAATCGTCAATAAGTTATGGAAAGCAGAAGAATAGTGGAATTGCGTAACAAATACTTAGAACAAATAACTGAATATAGACAAGAACAACGGCAAATTTTCTATTTGGACGAAACGACACAGCTACGAAAGGGTGGACTGATGGTTCGAAAATGTACGCCTAACATGCCTGCAAACAAAGGATCGCGACTAATCATTGTGTATTGCGGAGAAAGTAAAGGATGGGTTTCGAATTCTTTGAAATTATGTGGAAAAAAACTTGAGGACTGCAATGTTGACTATCATAAGAACATGGAAGCTGATATTTTTGAGGAATGGTTTGAAAACATATTGATCCCAAATTTGGATGCGAATAGTGTAATAGTTCTTGACAACGCTTCCTATCATTCGCGACAGCTCATCAAAGTACCGAACAAAAATTCGTGGAAAGATGAAATACAAAGTTTTTTAATGGATAACCCTCCACCGCAACCCGAAAGGATTTATTGTGGCTTACACCTATTCAAGTGCGAGTATGCGAGTAAGTAGTATTCAGAAAATATTGTGATTCTTATATAATCAGAAATGATTATTGAATAACAAAATTAGTTAGCTCCCTGACTATTTTATTAAAGGGGAACTGCTGGAAGGTTATTTTAACACCTCGACACGTGTTTCGGTCATCAAGTGATCATCTTCAAGGGGAAGGAACATGACCTTACCCAACCTCATCTGACCTAACTGAATCTAACCTTACCTGAATCGACCCTACCTCACCTAACCTAATTTAACCACAATTATCACCAGGAGGTTGATGAACAATATTTCTAGCAATTGATAATCACGATAAATTATTACCTATACTCAGTCTGTTTGATTTTTGTATTCGCAGAACAAGTATTATTGGCATTTGAAAGCCTCGTTTCTTGATCTGAATGAGCATAACCGCAGTTGGCAGAAAATAAAAGGCCTTTTCCAAAGAGGAGTTACTCAATCCACCTTTTATTTTTGGGATGACTCCAATGTTCAAGGGATTACATGTTTTGCAATGGGTTTGCTAACAAAATATGCACTTGTACAAATTCACTTGACCTAACCTAACTCAAATTAACATAACCTAATATATCCTCCATTATCGCCAGGAGGTTAACAAATAATATTTCTAGCACTTGAACATTACGGTAAATGACTTCACTCAGTCTGTATAATTCTTGTATTAGCAGAACAAGTGTTATCCTTTAGTATTATCGGTTGAAAATGAAAAGCCATTCTCAATGAGGTATCACAAAACCCTCCTTTTTTAAATATTTCTGGGATGACTCCTTCGTTCAAAGGATTGAAGGTTTCGCAATGGATTTTCTAACAAAATATGCCCTTTTACAAACTCCCTTGACCTAATCTAACCGAACATAACCGAAATTAACCTAACCCAACTTAATCCAACATCTTTTTTTGCCAGGAAGTTAGGAGAAATTATTTCTAATACTTGATTATCACGGTGAATTATCATACTCAGTTTGTATTATTTTTGTATTCACAGCACATGTATTATCGGAATTTGAAAGCCTCATTTTTCGATCTGAACAGCATTTAGCAGGAAATCACAAGGCCATTAAAAACGGTATCACTCAACGCCTTTTTTCAGTATTTTTCGGATGACTCCTTTGTTCCGAGAATGTAATTGATTAATTAATAATTAATGGTTTGCAATAGGTTTTTGATTGAAATATGTCTTTTCTCAAATTTGCCGTGTTTTTGGATTTTTGCAAAAATTGTTTTGCGTATCAGTTATGCCTTGCGCCAAGCTAAGTTTCTGATAAATCAACTTGTTTTGTACTTTGTAGAAGAGTGAAATAATCTTAGAATACTGTGACCTCTGGTAGTCATATGTTTTTCATTGGCATAACAATAAAGAATTCTGTGAAATAATTTTGTTGTCAAATTAGCATCAATACTTTCAAATTGATAGCGGAATTCAAGTGAATATTCTCTCATGTGATTACTTGAGAACAATTGATGAAATAACATGTAAAGATGCTTGACCGTAATTTTTTGAAACTAATTATAACACAAAAGGAAGCACTTTGTTTGGATCACAATGAAGAGAACAGATCCGCACTTTCTTGTATAAGAGTGATAAAACAAAAATATAGGCTTTTACTAACTTTTGAATCGACGGCTAGCTAGAGATATAAAATTCCTTAATTCTTTCATATTAAACAGAATGAAATTTGAGG